CATACTCGTCGTACTCCTTTACTCTCTTTCTCTTTTCTTCACCTCCCTCCCCTCCCTCCCACCTTCCCTCCCCTCCCTCCCTTACCCTCCCTCCCCCTCCCTTACCCTCCCTCCCTCCTCTCCCTCCCCTCCCTCCCTCCTGATTCCTGCTTGCCTTTCATCAGTTCTCCGGCCCAGTTGTCTGCCTCCAAAGACTTCTTGGCTAGCTTCCTGACCTGTGCGCGATGAGATCCTCCTCCTCCTCTGCCGCATCACTCCCACTCACTTCGAGTCTTGCAGCATATTCAGGACACTGACAAGCCTTTCTCTTCATCCATTCTTGCGCTTCAGGCGTTATCGGAGCGCCGATTTCATGTTGTCGGATGCTACGAACAAGTCATCATGCACGATCATCGCTGATACGCGTGTGTACAGCTTCTCGAAGGTTCGTTTCTCTCTCTTGTCTTGCTCGATCTTTCTTATCCTTGACAGCCCTTGAGCATCGAGGGCGCACATACGTACCTCACCTCATCTCCTCGTTCTTCTTCTTGTGGTAGAAACCTGGCTCGTACTTGAAGACACTCTCAGCCTCGTTGTCCTCGTCAACCGTGTCGTCAAACCTGCGAACAGCAAGCGCTCCTCCTCCCTCCTCCTCCTCCTCCTCCTCCTCTCTCCTCCTCTCTCCTCTCCTCGCTCCCTCGCTCCCGTCCCCTCCGCTTGCCATCATGCCTCGCAGCAGGGTTTGCAGGTTTACCCTCATCCCCCAACAACTTGGCAGCAATGCGGCAGCTCAGCCTGAGCCGGGCTGGCGCCGGGCCGGGCACCTGCCGGGCACTCCCAGGGGCACTCCGGGGCCGGGCAGCTGGCGGCCGGGCAGCTGGCCGGGTCTGCCCCAGCTGCTGCACTGCCGCACGCGATCACTACCATCCGCGGCTCGATGTGAAGCAATTCATTCAAGGCTGCTCAATAGACTCGAGACAGAATTACTACTACGGTGGCTACATCGGTGAGGTGAGAGCAGCAACACACATCATGATCAACGTCACAGCTGAAAGAGCCTGAGCCCCGCCGCGGCCAACACCAGCCGCCCCACTCGAAAGTGTGTTGGAGCCCCCAGAGGCTTTCGGGGTTGAGGTTGGAGGAGCTGGAGCCCCAGACTGCTGTCCGTTGTTGCCGCCGCCAGGTTGCGGATCAGTAGGAGCCCCGACGACCCATCGAGGGTAAGCAGTGTTTCCAGACCTCCTGGTACCGGGACCACCAGACCCGTAGAAAGCAACTTGATTGGCCGTCTGAAAGTAAGCGGAAGGAAAGATGATGTCGAAGTATGCCGATGCTTTGTCTCCGGGGACAGGGTTCACTCTTAGCTGTACGGTGCCGGTGGAGTAGTTGGCCAAGGAGACGGTGGTTCCAGCAATGGTCATGGTCGCGGAGTTGAAGGCCTTGTTCAGTTGCAGAGAAATCAGCTTGCCGCCAAGAGTGAAGGTGATGTCGTTGACCTCGACGTTGTGCATGCCAGTGAGATTCTTGGACTGAGAGTTGAACGTCATGCCTGCTGCTGTCTGATCGCTGTCCACAACAGTGACCTTGTACCTCACAAGGAGGTGCTTGGCGTCAGGATCCGACATGTAGTTGCTGCCCATGGTCCCTCCGTAGGTCATGAACGCGATGTCTCCCGATGAGAAAGAGACGTCGTCTCCCGAGCACTGCTTGTTGGACGTCGTCGTGATGCACATGTCGACTTTGAGCTTCGTGCTGTGATCTGCGGGTATGTCAGTGACGGAGTTGAAGCTGAGGGGGATGGTCTTGGTGTTGATCGTCCCTGAGGTCATGATCGCGTTCATCGTGCCGATGTAGCCTGCGCTCGTTACGTCGTTGCCAACCAGCGCTCCGGCCATCATGTAAGCGTACGTCGATGACCCCACTGCCTCACTCGCTGACCATTGGAGAAAGCCATTGTTGATGTTGGGAAGGCCTGTTATCTGGATGAGATTGTTGCTGTCTGTGCTGTAGGTGTTGAGGTCGTAGATCCATCCCAGCGTCATCGGCGTCAGGGTGACATAGGCCGAGGGGCCGGGGCTTGCAGCAGTGCATGGGCCGTAGGCGGCGGTAGAACAGGCCGCTTCCTGGGAGCTGCAGCCCAGGATGACTCCAGCGCAGATGTTCTGACCCTCAGCCTTGACGAAGGTGAAGGGAGAGGAGCAGTGGGATGAGGGGAGGGAGCAGAGAAGGAGGGCGAGAAGAGCTGCAGTGTGCATGACGATCCCTCTCTTTCAAAGCAGCTGCAGGGGGGATGGAGGGGTCCGGAAGTTAATTAATATTCCGACGGGGCAGCGGTTATTCATGTAACTGTCCCTCGTACAGTCCGTGCCAGTGAAATACAGGCTGACAAGGGCTCATGGGCGGGAACGGGGAGCGAAGGGGGGTGGTATTTCAAAACTTGAGTTTTAAATTTAGAGAACGTCAAGTAAAAAGTGACGGTCCTTTTTTACTTTTTTCGGATCGGATTTGAAAAACAAAGCACTACTACTGTGTTTAAATTTGAGTAAAGGCTTGAACTGTCGGCGGCAGGCTACTGTCTGTACGTTTACCGTTGAAAACGGTTGTAGTGAAATTTAACGAACTGTCGGTGAAATTTGTACCGTCCAGCGATCGGACACGGTAGCGTACCGGACACACCTAGTTGCGTCTACTAAGTTCCTTCTTTCCGTCCTCTCCGAGCCGAGCGGCCCAGATCGTTGCAGTCCGATTCCGTCAAGTTCTTTTCTGACGGCAGGAGACACCATCCTTCTCCGACTCCTGATTCCCCTCCTCTCTCTTCCGATTTCACTGCCCGGCCCGGCCTTGCTACCGTTGCCGCTGCCTCCCCCGGGCCGTGGGAAAGTTCCGGGACACCCGGAGGGCCACCTCCTCGGAGGCTCCTCCTCTCTCCTCCGGAGGCTTCTCCTGCTCTTCTCGCTCCAGGCTCCGAGTGACTCCCGTACCCAGGCTCCGCCGCTGCGGCCCGGAACGCCGGGCCAGCCGCCAGTGCGCCGGGCTGGCCCGGCGCACCCGGCGGCGTCAGCTGCCGGGGCACCGTCTGCGCACCGCCGCGCACTGCGGCACTGCCGCAGGTCAGGGGCCGGGCAGCCTGGCATCATTGGGGCTCACCGCTCAGTCTGAGTCCGAGGCTCGACCGTACGGCGCGGCGGGGCCGGCTTGATCGGGCCCGGCGGTACTAGTCGGACACTCGCCGTGACCGTCTCGCGGCCGGCGCCGCCCGCCGGGCCACCGGCGGCTCGGCCGGGCTAGCCTGACTACCGTACCGTACTTCTGGCCGAGAGCCTGATTTAAGTTCAACTTTTACTATTATTACGATCCGCCGGACTCGTGACTCAGCATGGCCGCGACTGCCGCACCGGTGCCTGAGCCTCCGGCTGCCGCAGTGCCAGCCCGGCTGCGGCCACGCTGGGTGGAGAGAGTGAGATCAGTCAGGGAACTTGACCTACCAAGTTCGGCCGGGCCCGGAACCGTCTCCGCCCGCCCGTCGTCGGCTCGGATCGGGCCGCTCGGCCCGCCGGGCCCGGGCCGACGGCCGCCGCCGGGGCCGGGGCCCGGACTGAACATGCAAACTACACTACCCCTACCCCATGCTTTCCTCAACCCTACCCTACCCACTCCACCTAGTCTTCATTTTCTGGGGCGGACTTGATCCAAAGGACCCTGACGAAAGTGACGTGACGCAAAAAATGGCTGGAGGGCAGGTAGCGCCATGGCGCAACATCCGCTGTCATCCTCTGCTCCCTGCTCCCTGCTCCCTGCTCCCTGCTCCCAGCTCCCTGCACTCCCTGCTCCGTGCTCCGTGCTCCCTGCACTCCGTTCTTTGTCCTCCATTATCCGTTCTCCCTCTGTCCTTCCTTGTAGCCATGTCCCCGTGCCTTTGCAAAGCTTCTTTCATTCTCCGACCTTCCCTCGTTCCACTTGTTCCAACCCCCCTGACCAGCCCTCCTGCCGGATGCCAGCCTTCCCTTCCCTTCGCTTCGCTTCTCCTCCCTCCTTTCTTCCGTCTCTTACCCTCCTATCCTTTGCCGCCTTGCGTCTCTTCAGTCTATCCTTTGCCACCCCAACTCCCTTTCCTCTCCTCACTTTATCACGGAGCTTCTCTCTCACGCTCTGTCATTGTTTCAACTCAACCATGATGTGATTGTGATCGCCGTGTTCAGCTGCCGTCATGATTGGATGCATGTCGTCGACGCGATTGTTTGCACGGGACCGCAGGTGATCCTCAATAAGGTCGACCCGCCATGGCGGAGAGACATGGATGGCGGTTGCAAGCTCCGTAAGCAGGACAGAGGCACAGTGGTAGGTGCGATGGGGTTGTGTTTGCTGTGATATATCCCAGGGCATCGATGCTGCCCTCCAAGAGAACGAAACGAGCTCCAAAACCTCGAGGAGCATCTACCCGACCTTTGTTGATCGCCTTCCTGGTCTGATCGACTGGTTGTCTCCTCCCTCCATGACCTCTTGCAAAGATCTTCTGTGCCATCGTCGTCGTCGTCGTCCAGAAACGTGCGCGGCTGGTCGGCATGAGACAGCGGACGAGGAGGATAAGGATTCTGAAGTCGACCCTTGACGGTGATGCAGCAGTCTGCAAGCTCCAGTCCTTTCTCCTCTTGCCGCATAACCTGCTGCTTGCCGAGCAGACCCTGGGCTGGACATCCTGCCGAACCTCAAGTCTTCTCAAGGGACAAACCAGGTATGAGAGTTCTTGGTGGTTGCTCCTGGGTGTGAGATTTCTGTCCTTCGTCCCTGCCTGTTCGAAACCTTCACGAAATGTTTAGAGCCTTCATGTTGAAAAGTTGTTTTGTATTCGTGTCCCTGCTCACGAGCTGCTCAACAGTCCTCATCCTTCAGCTCTAGAGTCTCCGCCGCAACCCCCCCCCACCATCTTGACAGCACGGGATACCTCCCTTCCTTGGAGTTCGTGAACTTGAACGAGGTAGCGACTCCGCATCGTTCCTCTGCTCCCTGACTCCTCCACTCCAAGACGACGATCGCCAGGGCCGGGGACCCCCTTGCTCTTGACTTCAAGGTCTGACTGCGCTGACGAGCCTCCTTGCTGAGTTGCTGTTGTAGCTGAACGGCATCGGGCCGACGGCAATCAGCAAGTGGAAATTCTTGTCGATCATGCTGATAGTGAATGGTACATGTGCTGCTGGGAAAGAGGAGATGTTCACCCTTTGCTTTCAGGTTCGGATTTGTTCTGGTACTCCACTATCCCGAAGCAGGTCGCGGTTGGTTATACGGGTGAGATGTGAACACGTGGTGGTGTGGAATGTGATGATGATGGAGACGATGATGATGATGAAGATGATGAAGATGATGATGATGATGATGGAGATGATGATGATGATGGAGATGATGATGATGATGATGATGATGATGGTTGTGGTGGTAGGTGGTAGGTGGT